GTAAACCGAAAAGCTAGAAAGCTGGAATTTTAAGAGGATGTTTTTTGTCCACGTAGAACTTCGTGAGTTCAAAACCAGTCCTCAGATGCGCATGGTTCCCATGTACAGGCCTGTGAAAATTATTGGTGAGTAAGTTGCTAACTCGTGAACTAAAAAAGCTAAAAAAGCTAAAGTTTTAAGGGCTTATTTTCTGACAGTCTTGGTGGTCAGTCTCAGTTCTCTTAGCAAGAAGTATCTGACGGAAAAACCAGCACCGTTAGTGACAAAAACCTGCGGGGAACTATACAAAAAACGCATCTTCGTACAGGCAGTCGGTGCGCTGACCAATTGTTTTCTTTTCAGTGCGTGCATGTTACCCAAGCTTAACCCAAACTGGAACGCACCAGGCTTGCCGGTGCGATCATGTTTTTTTGCACTAAACTCGCAAATCGCTAATAATAGGGAGGATCCCTGCGCTGTAGCCTAACACTTTGGCTCATACTGACCGTGGTTTGGCTTCTTCCGGCATGCAGGAGAAAGGGCGTCGGTTGGGATGAAGGTGTTGCATTAATAGATTCGCACAGACCTCCAGATGTATGAATGTCAGTTTTTTGTATGAAGCCCGGTCGTTTTTCGGTAAGTGTTCGCTTTTTGAAAAAGTGAAGGATGCAAATTTTTGAAAATGCAAAAATTTCAGTTCTTCACTGAAGTTTAGAAATGTTGCTAGAGGCTTTTTTGCCAAAAAATCCAAACATTTAAATGAACTGGATGTTGGGAGAGGATGAGGACGGTCGTTCGTTGCAAAATGCATTCGTTTCTGAGTTTGCGGTAAAGTTAATTATTTCTCATAACATCTCCAGGGAATTCCACCTCCAAGCAGAATTGAAGGTCGCAGATGAAAGTAGAATATCCCAGAAAAGTTTCAGCCTCGCACCTTATCCGGTGAACGAAATAGCGGTTTTACTACAAATATCATAGAAGTGCCCTAAGTTGTGGTATAAGTGCAAATCGGAGCTCAATTTAGGTATACGATTTTCCATATATCCGATAAACATGCTCACAAAATTTTAGCCAGTTTTCTGGTTCGTTTTCGAGTTAGGTCAGTGTGCAGACTTTGACGTGGTCGTACGCGCTGCAAAAGCACGCACGACAGCTGAATTTGAAATCCTTAGCTCGCACATGCACAGAGAATTTCCCTGCAAAGTTTCAG